GTTTTTATGTTGTAGCCTCGTTTCCATGTCGGAAATTCCGGGCATGCCCATTCCTGCTGTCCCCAAGCGAATTTCGCTTGGCCCCATATCAAAAAATGTTTGTCCCAGGGAGGTTAGCAATCATGCCAAGTTTCATGCTTTTATCATCAAAGTGAACAATTTTTGACGTTAACAGCCGGACTATAAGCCTTTTCATAGTTTAAGGATCGATTCCACTGCGCATGCGATTTTATCCTGAATTTCTCACCTTCTTTTGTTTAATTAAGAACAAAAGAAGGTTTAGACAAAAGAAAGTGAGAAATTCGGGATAAATTCGCATGCGCAGTGGAGTCGATTCTTAAACTATGAAAAGGCTTTTTTTGGTCGCAGAAAAAAAAAAACTTGCTGTGATTTCAGCACTTCAATTGATTTTCAGCCAGCCTCATTAATTTATTCTGGCGTGTTCTTTTTTTTTTGCAGGAGGTCTTTTGGTGTTTTCACAGTTAACTACTGACGATGATGGTGTCAATAAAGTTTGCATGAATATACAGTTATCAAACCTTTGGAAGGAACTTTGTAAAGAAGGACTTATAACAAAGGTAACTAGATTTAATGCTATTCTAATGTTTATTATTATTAATATTTATTTATTTATTTATACAATATGCAGCTTATATAGTTTTTATAGTTTATCAATAAATTTTTCACTCTTTAATGTTATTCTATTCACGTGACTAGCGAAATTTTGACTCTTGGAATCGAAATCCGAAGTTTTGATTTTAAGAGCAGTGATGGGTCCAGGATTTTAACTAAGGGATAAGAGTGGTCTAAAATGGTCGCTACGCAGCTTTGCAAACGGGGGCTCAATTTCGAACAAACCAAAAAAGTACGGGATCACCACTATCCGAGGAGTTAAGTTAAAAGTTAAAGTTTATGTTTTTCCCCTGCCGGCACTGCAATACTGAAGATATATAATTAAAAAAGGGGGGAAATCAATTATATGTAATCCTAGCTGTTATGTACGTTTCAACTTCAGGAAGAATTCAAGAACACCGTTTTCGTCCATTACTTCAGAACAATGGATGAGTACAGGAAACCTTTTGAGTGTAAAAACTCACCTGTTTATCAAGCTGGTCTTCGTTTAATTTCTATGGAAAAACACGTAATTCCTTGTCCTTTGAAGAAGAAATGGCTGAAAGAGAAGGGAGATCCAATGGCACATGCAAAGCGTTTTGTGTGTTCTTTACGAGCATGGAGCAATGGTACTTTCATGTCTGGTAAGTGCTTATAAATGTGTGTTGGTTCCTAGAAGAGTTACAGAGTTGAGAAGAAAGAACTCATTTCCTACTGGAATGTTTTGTCCTACAATATGGCTGTCATGAAACCAACTTCAACCCAGAATCGTACCCAGTCGCTTCTCTTCTCTTACTGATATCACGCTGTGTTTAATGGAAAGGATTTGAGCCTTCGCGCGCTTTAAAAAAGACCTGAGCGACGACTGGGTAATTGAACCTAATATCTTTGGTGTGCAAGTTACGCCATAACTACCATGTTGGGTGATCGATTTAAACAAAAAAAAAATTATGTTTTCAATTGTTTTATCTTCAATCACAGACTTTTTCTGAGATAGAGAACATGGTGCATTGTAGTCTACCTTGGTTACATGCTTCTCTTTCAAAAACAATTATAAATTTAGTTTTATCGTTGTTTAGGTCTATCTAATTGCCGCTCATCTGAAGAAAAATCTAACATTGTAGATGAGTTATATCGACGTGTAGAGAACGAGGTAGCACAACACCCTGAGTACTATGGGATTGATCGGGTGCAAGTTTACATGGTCATAGAGAAGCAAAGATGAGTTTAGTCCGTCTTTAATTCCCAAAAGGAATTGCCGATCCTTGAGAATCGAGTTAATTAAATTCCTTTATTTATACTGCCAACATGGCTGCCATGTCTTTGAGTCTTTTCTTTTTAAATCTCTTAAAATAGTCACAATCAACTTCTCCATCCACATCATCATAGTCGTTTTAATGTTTATTTGTATTTTATTTTTACCTAACATTTTATTTGTATTCTTTATTTATTTTAGGATTTTTTTATATATACATATTGTTTTAGTTTCAAATAGTCCCTTTCACAGTTCCCTGCGCCATCTTGAAAGGTTTAGCCGTGCTTTTGCATCGCTGCGAGACTAACAGTGATCTTGCAATGATATGATAGAGACCTTTTTTTAATACCTTGGATAATTATTCACAGCTATGTCTCTATCATTGCAAGCTCACCGTTCGTCTCGCTTCGATATAAAGGCACTTCTACCTTGATTAAGATGGCGCAGGCAACTGTGAAGGGGACTACTACATTTGCGAAAAGCATCGATACTTTAGTATTTATGCGGTTTAAAAAACTATTATTATTTATGTATTATTATGTGCCTACATTAATTGTTAACGTCATCAGTTGTCAACACCATCGTTGTCGTCATTGCTAATTTCAGGCTAGTCTCAAGTCATTTCAAGAAGTTAGTAAGACCTTATCACTCCGTAATAAAACAATACGAGTTTTGTCAGTGAAATTCATTATTTCTCGTTATAAGATGAGGGCAGAATCACAACCAGTTCTATATGACACATTCATGTTTTGCTTCATCTGCCTTCTTTGTGCAAACGTCTTTGCAAATAACTCACTCAGCGCACAGCGTAAATCATGCTTGCCCAATCCATAGAAACACGGGTTCAAAAAAGAAGTCATAAAATACAAATACACAATAATGTGTAAGACGTACATGGGAATACGATCTAAAGTGCCGTTGATATTCAACTCCAATCTCAAAGCAGCATTAGGCAACAAACAGAAGACATACGCCAATAGCATCAATACGAACATGGAAACAGTTCTAAGCTCAAACGTCCAGATTTTTTTATCTCCCCTTTCCACTAACCTATTGTGCTGACGTGTTAAGCTGTTTTGTCGAAGAATTTGTACAAAGATACGGCAATATGCCAATACCATGAACGGTATTGGGATTACTCCCAATATCACGAACATGATAGTGTAGACAAGGTCCTTCTTCTGGTAGTCTTCGTCTGGTATGTCGTTGAGACTTTCTTCACTAGAGACTGTCCAGGACAACTGGATGACGGTCATGAATGAACAATACAACCAGATGGTGGCAGTCACCAGCTGAACTCGTTTCTTAGTCACCAATTCTTGGTATCGAAGTGACTTCAAGATGGCGATGTAGCGATCAGCTGTGATGGCAGCGATGTGGCAGATAGTTGATAAAGTGGTGAAGACAAAAAACTGATTACTTGCAGTACAGATCTCTGTTTTCTCAGTAGCGTTACAGCTTATAAAGAATGGGATGGCCAGGAAGGCAGTCAGAAGATCTGATATGGCAAGACTGACCAGGAAGTAGTTAGTGAATGATCTGAGAGAACGTTTCTTGACGAACAAACCAACGATCGTTCCGTTGAGAATAACAATGATTACTGCCAGTATAAGTAAGGGTAACTGAGTCTGGACATGGAATCCTTTATCTTCACTGCTGTGGCTAGTAGAGTTTGGATGACTGAAATTCGCGTCTTGTCTCAGTAACATATTCAGCCAAAGCCATGTAATACCCTATTCTTCTTTCTCTAGAACTACAAGTAAGACGAAAAATTATTGTTTCAAAAGCATAATTCAAATAGTGATACCACCCATGCTACTGACTGAGGGCTTGTAGTCCCTACTCTGAAAATAAATACAATGCAACTCTGAACATGATATAGGTTTTACTACCCTTATTTGCCATTTTCCATACATCGGTTGTTTACAAAGCAATCAATTGAGGTTGCAAGGTAGTTTCAAAGGATTACTCAAAATTGAACCTTTCCGCCTCGATTGTATGCTTCGTGTTTAACCAGCGTGTTGGTATATAAATGGAAACTGGACCGGTTTTTCACTTTAGGTCTAGTCTCCTCAGCTCACTAACGGGTTAGTGGAGAGGGCCCGTGAGGATCTGGGACCGGAACTAATGACGCCCGCGAAGTAGAATACTTCAGTTCATGACCATGCAAAATGGCTTAATAGCCGATGAGCCCAAATAAATCCAGACCTTACGTCTTTTCCCAAAAAAATCATATACACACACAATATACACACGAACATGGATATTTCCTAGTTCCAGATATCAAACAAAGAATCTTAGTCTTAGGAAAGCGTACACGTGGTCTAAAATGGGAAAACATTACGCCCACGTCAAATGGATCGATAGACCTAATCCACTGTTTTCCCATTTCAGATCACGTGTCATTCCCTAGAGTCTTATTTCTTTATTTAACAGTTGCACATGAGAAGACACATGAATATGGATACAACTCAAACAAAGAATCTTATTCTCAAGAGAGTGACAGGTGGTCTGAAATGGGCAAAACATTACGCTTAAATGGATTTGATCCATTCCATGTTTATTATATTCACGAAAGAAAAAAAGAAATGCGTTTCCTTACTGTCCATAGAGCAAAAACGTATGTATTAAGTAAGTTTAAAAAGGAACCTTTTTCCTAGTCTTGAGAGCAAAGCTTTCAAAAGAAATTTAGCATGAAACTTGAAAGAAAGCAAGAAAAACGGCCATTATCACTAGTATTTTTAAGATCAGATATCCGAAAGGTGATATCAGCAGCTGGACACTTTTCGTTTTGAGGAGTTCGTTCTACGTAGGTTTCATTAACTTTATCTAGTTTCCTATACGTAAGTAATTCTACTGAGCAATTTCTAACATCGATTGTTTTCAATTATGTTTTAACGTCCCTCACTTTAGAACCCATTTCTGTGTCCGGAAAACGCCGTAAAAATACGATATTAATTTCCAGACCTTGCATAATTATCTTTACCTGTTTCAACCCAAGAAATTTGAAGTAATACCTTGAAAAAAAGAGTAAACACCTCGGAGAGATTGATGCAAGATGCCAAATATCCTGAATAAGCGCTCTTTTTGCATCCGTTAAAAGATAAATTATATGATAAGCGCAACTTGAAGGAAGTGTGATTTCAGATATTCAGTTGTTATAGGTATACGTGCTTTTTAGAAAGTCTACTCTTTATTGCCCAGCATGTTCATTGACTTTGCTCTTCACTGTCCGCTCTGATTTTGGATAAATGTCTTCCGAGACGACTGAAAATCGAAAAAAAAAAAAAAAAAAAGGAAAAGTGGGGGAAAAAAAGGAAACGAAAAAGAAATTTCACATTATTTTTTTTTTTTTTTTTCTCGCGAATATGCCAGTTACTTAAAAGAAATTGTTCGTCTTACCTTTTGTTGGATTTTTTTCGAAATATCAGACGAGAAAAGATGTTGTTTATCAAGAAGACTGCGAGAACTGAGAACTTAGCAGGCGACTGACACTATTAGAGGATACCAATTACGAAAACAATGTCTGCTGTGCATGCGCAGTTAATTTAGTTTCTATCTAATTCGTCAGAAAAATGATWAAAAAAAACAAACATATTTTTCCTGGCGTTGTTTAACCCGAAGAAAAAAAAACTGCATTTTCTCTGTTTTCAAAAAAGTTCACATTAATGATTTCCGTTAAAACCTCTACTTTTGTTAGCCTCAAAATCTAAGACTTTATGACAACGATATTTCTTCTCGTGCTTTAAAGACTCAAAGACGCAATAAGAAGCTCTAGTCTTGGAAAGATTTCCTTTTAACGGAGTTTTGACTAAATTCTAGCGATAAAAGGCTTTAAAAAAAACCACCGATGAATTAATTATGTTTGGTATTAAGTGGCGAGTCATGTCCTTACCAATGCTTTCATTCATTAGTTACAATCAATATATTTTATTGGAGATATTGAAAGAAGAAAAAAAAAATTCACCACTGGGATTGGATACTTTCGAATTCAACTTCATCGCAAAGGGCTTCGTGGTACTATTTAAAAAATATGACTTATAATAACATAATTTTTAAGAAAAAATGAATGAAATTTCATTTTAAAAGACGTTTATATGAATTCATATCATGGCATGATGTGTGAATAGTTGATAAGATGTAGTCATGCTGTTAATTTCTTCAAATCTCATTATCTTCACTGAAAGACTCTGTTTATTCATTCATTCGCTCACACCCTCGCTTCCTTCCTTAATTCTTTACGTTTACTCATTCATTTATCACTTCGCTATCTATTCGTTCCTTCATCGGTTCATAAATGCGTTCCCCATTTCATTCATCCTTCTCTCACTTCCTTTCTTCCTTACAGATCTTCCCTAGATTAAAACTCTCATAATAGAGTCTCATAATATCTATCTATATTTTTTCTTTGGTAATTTCGGGATTTCCAAACTGTTACTATTTATAGATCATTTTAAAGAAACATTTTTTACTTACAGCTTTAGCACTACTTCCAGCCACGTTCAAATTCGCATTCCGCACACTAATTAAAGATATACAGTGTAAGAGAAAATATATCACATCATAATAACATAAGCACGTACGTAAACACAACTCTCTCTCCACTCGATATGAGTAGACTAGAAGGCATAATGATATAAGGTAAGCCAATAGGGCTCATGTTTACGACAAACACACCATTGTTTTCGCAGTTCACTGTCTAGAGACAGGTTTTATCATGAACATACCATGCAGTCAAAGACTGGTTGAATCTTCCTCTGTCACTGTAATAAGTTTTATTTCTGGAAAGGAAACTTTTTCCCTTACATTTCCTTTCCTTCAACTTTAATTTGCCTACAATATTTTTGTGAAAAAAAAAACAACCTGGCACCTTTTAAGAGAGAACGATAAGAGCCTCAATGTCTTGTAAGCCATATCTTTTTGCCCATTATATGAATCGGTGAAGACTAAGAAAAAATAGTTTATTATATAATGAATTTCGCTGTATGTATCGCCTCGAGATATATGCATCCAACGAGTGGCCCTGAAATACACGATCTTTCAAAGAATCATAACAAGCTGGACAGTCAACGAGCTGAGTTCTTTGTTTTTGAGAGAAGCTATAAAGTGCTCGCCTTATTAGGCATTTATGCTAATTTGTCGTTCTTTTTTCGAAACACCGGCTCCTATGTGAGAACTAACTTAAATTTAATTTATCTGTATCAGTAATGTTTTATATATTAAATGGTCACTCCTCATACGTCACAGTCATTAGCATATGACATGAAAAACCTTTTATAACTTCAAGAAGCCGCACTCAAACTATAGAAATGATGACAACAGTATTCTTGTATGTGCGCGCGTTTTATATTGCTTAAAATGAGGGCTAGCTGAAACAGCTTTTATTTATGCAATGTCCGTCTGTAGCGGCGTCAAAATTTCCTTTCTCTTTCTTTCAACTTCTTCCTAGTGTCAAGCATTTGTGACACATTTGTCACAAAACACTTGCTGACAGAACGCCCGTTCAATATTCAAAACATATTTGAAAAGCTTGAGCATATTATTTCCCTTGAGAACCTACATAGCAATGAACAGACGTGATATATTAATAAGAGCTGCTATTGATATTCCATTAAATCCCATTCTATTTCCAGCTAATGGTTTATTGATGATATTCCCGGAAGTGCATATTTTGATTCAGCAGTCCCTCAGTGGTCCATACAATGAAAAATTGGAAGTTATAGTGAAAAACTATCCCTTATTCACAGTATGGTCCTTATATTATGCTGCGTTCATAATGTGTGGCAGAGAGGGAGGGGGCAGGGGGGGAGCTGAAAAATTGAAATGTCCAAAGTAATTCTTAACACCCCCCCCCCC